TCTTAACTAGAAAAGAGGTGGTGATTCCTTCTCACAAGAAACTCCAGTAACTCCTTCTTTAATCATCACCCCAATAAAACATAGATAATACTGCATTTTAAAAACTAAGTCACTAGGAAGTCCATTGAAATCCTTACGCATAGTTTGTTGTTCCGTTACTTCCAATTGTGTCTGACTCTCATTTGGGGTTTTCTTGGCAAAGATACTAGTGTGATTTGCCATTTCCTTCTCCAGCTCATTTTACAGATGAGGAAACTGAGGCAAATAGGGTTAAGTGACTTGTCCAGGGTCCCATAACCAGTCTGAGATCAGATTTGAATTCAAGAAGATGAGTCCTTCTGACTCCACGCCCAGTACTCTATCCACCGAGCTACCTAGCCGCCCTAGGATGAGTATGTACAGCCTATATAATGATTACTTACAAATAAGAAGCTATGTGAAAGAAATTATTCAGGACATTTGTGACCAGGAAGGGAGGCAGCCTGATCATGTAACAAAATAAGAAATAATATAAATACAGTATAAGGGACACAATGATACTCTTGATATATGAAAAAAAAAAGAAAGAAAAATATCTACAATGTGTTCAGTAGATTCTTTATATGGTATTAATGGGAAAACTGGACAACTTTTATATATAATTAAGAAAGTTTGATGGAGTTGTAATTTGCTCTAGTGGAAGATAAAATCAAATATAACAAAGTAAAATAACACTTTAACATTGTTTTGTGGAGCTCCCTATCCTGCTATGATTTATTAATGTTACTCTTGCTATGTGCATATGCACACATGCTACACAGGCAAACATAGAAAAAGTGACATTTTATAAGTCACATTATGAACAAATTAATCCAATTCTCCCTCTCATTCAAAAGCCAAAAGGTTCTACCAAAATAAGGAGAAGAGAAACAGCCTTTATCACTGTATATCTGGATTAAGTCATATCTAAAATCTAAGTTATCGAGTCACTATAGTCAGAGTGAAACCGAAAGGCACTCTACCATAACGGCTAGAACAGTCCTATAAGGAGATTTTTCTTCTTCTGAAAATCTTACTCGTGTAATCTGTGGCTGGGGAATTGGGAAAGGGATAACTCTGCAACCAGAGCTATCATTTCACTCAAGAAAATCCATAGTTACCCACATAAGGTCAACAGGATCCACAAACTAAATGATTTCCAAAAGATCAATCCAGAAGTCACATTGTTAGGGTTTTACCACCTACTAAATAAAAGATTCTGTACATTCAAACAAGGGATACATTGTTGTGTAACAAACACCTCTTAAGCTCCAACTATATTCAGTATGCTGCATAAAACACAAAGATAATGAAGTAATTGCAGTATTAAATATATATGCAACAAAGGACATAGCATATAAATTCTTAAAGGAAAAATTAAATGAGTTACAGAAGGAAATAAAACAGTAAAACTATATTAGTGGGAGATCTCAGCTTACCCCTCTCAGAACACTACATAAATCTAACCATAAAATAAATAAGAAAGAAGGTAAGGATAAAGGTTTTCAGAAAAGTTAGATATGACAGACCTCTGGAGAAAACTGAATAGGAATAGAAAGAAACATACCTTTTTCTTAGATGTACATGGCACTATCACAAAAACTGATCATGCATTAGAGCATTAAAAACTTCCTAAACAAATGTAGAAATGAGACCACAGCAGGATATCACAAAGATCATACACTTTGACCAGACTGGATTTATACCAGGAATTCAGGACTAGTTCAGTATTTGGAAAACTATCAGCATAGTTGACTATATCAATAACAAAAACAATAAAAGATAGTGAGCTATCAAATATTAAATTACTATGGTCAATTACTTCTGTATACTGTGTACTTAATCCATTCTATCAATCAACCACTCTTATCCAGTTGTAGATTGTTTTGGTGATTACTGTTTTGCAGTATAGTTTGAGATCTGGTACTGTGAGGCAGCCTTCCTTCGCTTTTTTTTTTTTACCAATTTCCTTGATATTCTTTACCTTTTGTTCTTTTGTGAATTTCGTTATTATTTTTTCTAGCCCTGTAAAAAATTATCTAGTAGTTTGATTGCTATGGAACTGAATAAGCTATTAGGGCAAGAACTCACTATTTGACAAAAACTACTGGGAAAACTGCAAAGTACTCTGGCAGAAACTAGGCATAGACCAAGATTATTAAGATAAATAACCTTGAAAAGTGCAATGGCTCCAGAAGACTAATGACGAAGCATGCCTCAAACGTTTTGGTGGAAAGGCAAAGGTATAGAATGAGATACAGTTGTTCAGTCATTTCAGTCGTGTCTGACTCTTCATGACCCCATTCAGGGTTTTCTTGGCAAAGATACTGGAGCGGTTTGCCATTTCCTTCTCCAGTTCATTTTACAGATGAGGAAACCAAGGCAAAAAGGGTTAGGTGACTTGCCCAGGGTCACACAACTATTAAGTTTCCAGATGTGAACATTATAACACAAATTTGTTTTGCTTGACTATACTTTTGTCATGGGGGAGGGCTTTTATTTGGGGAAAGGGAACAAGTATATATTAAAGGCCTACTATGTGCCAGGCACTGTGCTAAGCACTTTACAAATACGAAGTCATTTACAAATATTCATCTTTGTTGATGATTTTCTAATTCATAATGAAATTTTATTAATTATTTCAATAAAGTTATAAACATAATTCTTATCAAATTTGGAGATGGCATAATTCTAGGATAGATGGCTAACATACTGAACAATAGTCAGGCTATCTCATAAGATCTTGATAAGCCCCCAAATTATGCTGAATCTATTAGGATGAAATTTTATAATAATAAATGTGGAGGGTTACACTTGGGATTCCAGAAATCAAATTCAGAAGTACAAGATGGGGAAGGCATGGCTAGACAGCAGTTTGCCTGACATATCTCAAAGTTTTAGTGGACTGCAAGCTTAACATGAGCCAAAAGTGTGATGTGGAAGTAAAAAAAAAAGTTAATGCAAACTTGGACTGCAATAAGACAGGCAGAGTTTTCAATAATAAGGAGAGGACAGTCTCACTGTACTCTACCCTAGTCAAAATTCATCTGAAGTCTGTTCTTCCGTGCTCCCTTCTGAGAACAACACTTTACAAGACACTAATAAGCTGGATAGTGTCCACAGGAGGACAGCCAGCATGGTGAAAGAAACATAAGATCACAGGTTTAGGGATGGGAGGGACCTCAGAGGCAAGCGCCCTCAAAGGCCATCTAGTCCAACCCTATGTTTTTAGGGATGAGGAAACTGAGGCCCAGGGAGGTTAAATGACTTGAAAATATCACATAGTAAGTACACATAAGAAGCGGAATTTGAACCCAGAGCCTCTAAATCCAGAGCCAGTTCTCTTTTTACTACCTGAAGGTTGTTAACCTGGGATAGATGAAGTTAAAAAATATTTCTGATAACTGTATTTCAATATAATTGGTTTCCTTTGTAATCCCATATATTTTATTTTACGTATTTAAAACCATTATACTGAGAAGGGGTCCAGAGGCTTCACCAGACTGCCAAAGGGGTCCATGACACAAAAAAGATTAAGAACTTTTGCACTGCACCATATTGCTCAAGTCTATGCCACTTAAGATATGGTTTACGGAACTGGGGTGGTCCAGCCTGAAGAAGAGAGGACTCAAGAGGTATGGGAGAAGGGCACATGATAGATGATTACAAGTACTGGAAAGGCTTTTATGTGCAAGAAGGATTAGATTTGTTCTTTTTGGCTCCGGAGAACACAAACTAGGGGCAATAGATGTAAGCTGCAAAGAGGCAAATTTAGGCTTGATGTGAAGAAATACTTGCTATCCAAAACTGGAATGGGTTGCCTTGAAATGCTACAAGGTTTCTTCCTCTCAGGAGGTCTTCAGGCAAAAGGCAGGATATGTTCACTTGTCAGGCAGGCTGTAGTGGGGATTTTTTTTTCAGCTGTGGGTCAATTAGATGGCTGATGAAGCTCTTTCCAATTCCTTAATTTCGTGATTTAAACATAGATGATAAGGATTGTGATAGGGAGTCAGTTATAGATTCATAAAAGAATTGATGTATAGCATTAAGGGCACAGTTAAAAGCTAATAGTACAAATTTTTAGCAGACAGGACAATTTGCTGTCTTTCTCTGGCAGAACTCAGGCAGGCATGGTAACAGAGAAGACAGACAGTGTGTGAAACAGGATTGGTTAGTAGCAGGTATAAGAAAGAATGGAAGTATATGGGAAAATGGAAGGAGGAGAGTTCAGTGAAGTAAGCAACTATAGTTTCAAAATATTAAGGAGGAACAGAGGGTGATGCTAGCATAGGGGTGATGGGCAGGGAGAACAAAGGAACCAGACAGTCACAATGATGTTGAACAGCATGTGCAAGATGAAGGAGGCTGTGTGAGAGGTAGAAGGACAAGAAATTGTGGTCAAGGGGATTCTGAAATTCAGGATCTTGGAAGAGAAAGAGTTTTGAGTGATGGTGGAGATCTAAAGTGTGATGGTGGAGATCTAAAGTGTGATAAGATGTTGAAGCAGAATGAGACGGAGGTATGGAATTAAAGATTAAGAAGTTGAGGGGCCAGGGTCACAAGTATGACTACTGATGAGATTATGGAAGGGGACATAGTAAAGAGAAAGACATTCCAGATATGGATGTCATTAATGAAAGAGGAAAGTGTTCTGCTTGCAAATATATGGTGGGAAGAATGACAAGGAAGGGTGTTATAAACCAAACTTTAAACGAATAAAGTGACCTTTTAAGCTGCAGAATGCATTTTATCAACTTACAATACTCACTAACTAAACCCCATAAAGCCACAGAACATTTCCACTGGCTAAAGTTTTATAGCTTCTACTTTATAAAAATATATTCAGCATTATAAGTTATGTTTAAGTGATCTCAACATGCTTGCTGAGGGCTGGAAAATGGTTTATTTGCAGTTGTAAACAATTCAACAGTTATGTTAGATCTAAAATGTCTAGCACTTTCACAATTCAAAAAAATACTCACGGCTCCATAACGAATAGGAAAGGCGACAATTTACTCTTCGGTAAAACTGCTTGTTGATAGGCCAGAGGACAAGGGTGAACAGCTGGATGAAGTTAATGATAAGCCCACTTACAACAAAAACAAACCCAATGAGCAGGTGTACAACAAACTGAGTCTTCAGAAATGCAAGTAGGCCCATGGTAGTCACTTAGTAGTGGATGCAGGGTCCTTCACTTAGCACAGATGTCCTGAAAAGAAGAGGAAAAATGTTGTAGTGATGTTTTCCAAGGCATCACGATGACAACAATAACAGATAACTACTAAAACGAGTAGCTCACATTTATACAGAATGACTACTAATACTAGTAGTTCACATTTATATACTTTATAATTCGTTCATAAAGCACTTTCCTCGCAACAACCTAATGAAAAGTAACTACTTAAGCTTCTTATTTTACAATTGAGTAAACAAGTTCAGAGAAATTAAGCAATAATGAAATAAGCAATGAGGGTCAGAGAAATTAAGCAATTATACACATGATGATGGCTAATAAATCATAGTCTGGACCAGAACCCAGGTCTTTTTATACTGAAAGGCTAGTGTGTAAACAATGAAAAAATTTAAAGGGCTCTCATTTATTGCCTTAACTCACTTTAGGACAATGCTCCTGAACCATCAGGTTCTTTTAAAAAATTATTATAGACTCAATAATAAAACATAAACACAATCAATTAAGTATCTTTTGCGGCTACTACATACTGCAGACACAATATGGCTTAGTAGATAGAGAGCTGGCCTTGGAGCCAGGAAGATGGTTCACGTCCTGCCTCTGATATATATTGGCTGTGTGATGGTCAGCAAGTCACTTGGAGGGCACTAAAACGCTAATGCTTTAAGTTGAAGAGAAAGTGTTGACCTACACGGGTAAAGGAAGTCCCAATACCAATGAAATCACAGGTCTAGTCCCTGTCCTTATCCCCTGCAGATACCTGCACTTCAAGAATTTTAATGAATAAAGATATCTACTTGTCAGTTATTTCCTCTCTGAAGTTTGGCTTCTGACTTCATCATTCAAATGAAACTGCTGTCTCCAAAGTTATTAACAATCTCTTAATTATCTCTATCCTCATCTTCCTTGATCTCTCTGTAGCCTGCAACATTATTATCCTCTTCTCTCTGACGCTCTCTTCCTCTCCAGATTTCTATGATGGTGCTCCCTCCTGATTCTTCTCCTACCTATCTGACTACTCCTTATTTTCCTTTGGTGGTCTTTATTCAGGTCATACCCACTAACCATGGATGCTCCTAACCCTCTGTCCTAGGCCCTCTTCCCTTGGTCCTCTATACTATTTCACTTGGTGAACTTATCAGCTCCCAATTATCATCTCTAAGCAGATGATACTCAGAATGATTTGTCCAGCTCTAACCTCTTTCCTGATCTCCAGACTTATATCCCCAGCTGCCCTATTGGACATTTTTGTCCCATAGAAATGTTAAATTCAACTTACTCAAAACTGAACTTAACTTTACTCCTAAACCCTCCCTTCTTCTCAGCTTCCCTATCATCATGGCACGTACTACCATCCAGTCACCCAGTCTTACAACCTGTGTCATCCTTCATTTCTCACTTTCTCTCATGCAACCCTCCCCATATGCAGCTAAGCTGCCAAGTCCTGTCAATTCTACCTTTGTAACATCTCTTATTTATAACCACTTCTCTCACCCTGTTAGATGTTTAGCCAAGAGCCCTGACCATCAATCCAGAGTCTCTTCCCTTCATTTTATGTGTGTGTATGTGTGTGTATCCCCACTACTACCAGCCCCCAAAATCTGTCTTGTACTTTTGTATAGGACTCTGAATCATAGATGGTTTTTCTTTTTTTTTTAAAAGAAATTTTTTCTTTTTAAAAATTTATTTCTAGTAAAGACCTCATTGTTTACGTACAAAGTTTTTTTTTTAACTAAAAAAATGTTGCACTGCTACAGTCATCTAGTTTACTATTTTACTCCCAGCACCAAAGAGTTTTGTGATAACTGGTTAATATTCCAACTCTGGACATAATGATGATATATATTTGTTTTAAAGTCTGAAAGTACAAATCTACCCTCACTAACTTGTGTTTATCCATATCCATATCCAAATTCATTATGATTTTAACCAGTTCTTCATATTTTGACTCATATTATATTAACTGTGTAAACTAATTTGGGGTATATTATCATACTAACTATATTGATTCAGCTCCTTCCAGAAATATTCCATTTCAATTTAACAAATATTTATTCAGTGCCTATAATATGAGTGAGGAATTGTGCTAGGTGCTAGGGACACAAATAGAAATGCAAAATAGTACCTGCTCTCAAAGGTCATACATTCTAATTAAAGGAAAATATATAGAAGGTTCAGCTTAAGGGTGGATCAAAAGGTGAAGAGCCAGGTATTGAAATCTTTGAGACCTTCCTCATAGGACAATGACCCAGGTGCCCATAGAGAACTACCACTGAGATCTAGATAGGATCTTTATGGAGTGAAAAACAAGTCAAGTCAAGAAGCATTTATGTGTCAAGCACTGTACTAAAAGCTAAGAATATACATTTTTTAAAAAGGCAAAGTCCTTGCTGTTCTTAAGGAACTCAGAATCTCATGGGGTAGGCAACATGTAAACAACTATATATAAATAAAATATATACAGGATGAGTTAAAGATAATCTTGGAGGTAAGGCACTAAGATTAGGGGGTACTGAGAAAGTTTTCCTGTAGAAGGTGGGATTTTGGCTAAGACTTGAAGAAAGTCAAGGACCCTCGGAGGTAAAGACAAGAAGGAAGAAAACCCCAGGGACAGGGAGGGGACAGCCAGTGAAAATGTCCAGAGTGAAAAGACATAATTTCATATTTGAAGAACATCAAAGAGGGTAGTGTCATGGAACTGCAAAGTACGTATGGAGGAGTAAGGTACAAAAAGGGTGAAAGGTAGCAAGGGAACAGCTCATGTAGGGCTACATAAGCCAAACAGAGGATTTTATGTTTGATCCAGTGGCATTAGGGAGTCACCAGAGTTGACTGAAAGGTGGGGGGGGGGGGATGACACATGATTATGTATCATGGTCAGACTTGCAGATGAATTTGATAGCTGAGGGGGAAGATGGACTGAAATGGTGAGAGACTTGAGGTAGGTGGACCGAACAGAAAGAAGGCTATAGTAATAATCCAGGTGCAAGGTGATGAGGGCCTGCACTAGGGTGATGGAAGTTTCAGAGGAGAGAAGAAGGCATGTACAAGAGACATTATAAACACAGAATCAACATGACTTGGCAACTGAGGAGGTAAGAGTGAAGAATAAAGGATGGCACCTAAGTTGCAACCTAGGTGGCTAGAAGGATGATGGTACATGACACAATAACAGGGTGGCTCATAAGAGGTAGGGGTTTGGACATAAAGAAAATGAGTTCAGTTTTGGAAAGGTCTTTGGGTCATCCAGTTCATGATATCCAAAAGACTGTTAGAGATGCAAGTCTTAAGGTCAGGAAAGAGGTTAGGGCTAGACATACAGATCTGAGTATCATCTTCATAGAGCTGACAGTTGAATCCATGGGAACTGATGAGCTTACCAAGCAAAATAATATAGAGGGAGAACAGAAGTGGACCTAGGACAGAGCCTCATAGTTAATGTGTACAACCTAAATGAAGATCCATCAAAGGATACTGAGGAGTGATCAGATAGGTAGGAAGAATGTCAGAAGAGAACAGCATCATGAAAACCTAGAGAGAAAATAGTATCAAGAACAGGGTGACTGACCATGTCAAAGGCTACAATAGTCAAGAAGGAGGAAGGCTGAGGGAAAAGCCATTAGACTAGGCAATTAAGAAACTCTTCATGATGCTGAGTGAAGTGAGCAGAACCAGGAGAACATTGTACACAGTAACAGCATGACCAACTCTGATAGATTTAGCTCTTCTCAGCAATACAATGATCTAAGACAATCCCAAAAGACTCAAGATGGAATATGCTGTCCATATCCTGAGAAAGAACTATGAAGTCTGAATGCAGACTGAAGCACACTATTTTCTCTTTTTTTATTTCTCATGGTTTTTCCTTTTGTTCTGATTCTTCTTTCACAACATGACTAATGTGGAAATATGTTTAATATAATTGTACATGTATAGCCTACAGCAGATTGCATACTGTCTTGGAGAGGAGAGAGGGGAGGGAGGAAAAAAATTTAGAACTCAAAATCTTATAAAAGTGAATGCTGAAAACTAAAAAAATAAAAATTAAACATTATAAAAAGAAACTGTTCATAACTTTGGAGAGACTAGTTTCAGATGAATGAGGTAGGAATTCAGACTGTAGAAAGTAAAGAAGAGGGGGCAAGGAAAGGATGTAGAAACAGACTGTAGATAGCCTTCTCAAGTTGTTTAGCCACAAAACGGAAGAGAGATATGGAATGATAACTAGTGGGGATGAATGGATCAGGTCAGGGATTTTTGAGAACGTGGGAGAAATGGGCATATTTGTAAACAGTAAGGAATCAGCCAGTACAAAGACAATGAAATAAATGAGAAAGTAAGGATGATAAAACAACCTGCTGGAGAAGACCAGATGGAATGAGATCCCTTGTCGACATACAGGGGTTTGCCTCAGCAAAGGAAAGGATCACCTTTTCATGTAATTCAAAGGAAAAAGGGATTGGTAAGTGTCTGGCTAGAAGAGAATCTGGAAGTGGGCAATGAAGGGTAAAAAAATCATACCTACACCTAGTCCTGGCTGAGTGTATTAGGAACCACAAAAAACCACCACCAGTGGTGAAGAGCATGGCCAGAATGCATCAAGTTCTGGCCCCAAACTATCTTTCCAGTTTCCCACATTCTGGAACCCATCCAAACTGAACTTCTCTCTGTTCCTCACACATAACACTCCATCTGATTTTGTACTGGTCATCTTACATACTTTATAATACACTCCCTCTTCACCTCCAAATCATATAATCCCTCCCTTCAAAATGCAGTTCAAGAATCATTTTCTACAAGATCCTTTCTTGATCTCACAAATACCAGGTTTCTCCTTCCCAAACTACTTTGTATTTATTCTCTTTTTATTTATTGGGCATATACTTATACATGTACTTCTTGTCCTCCCTATTAGAATATAAGCTCCTGTTGAGTTGGGATTATTTCATTCTTTGAATCTATATTCCCATTGCTTGGCATACTAGGCACTTAATAAATGTTTATTGATTGATCATTCT